AGGGCACCAACCAAAAACTACTGCGTAGAATTAATTGGAATTTTTCACACACAAGCCTTGCTATATGAGCTCTCAAAGCATATAAAAATTATACGGCTTAAATGTGAAGTTGGGTGCAAAAGAATACAATTAAATCCTCTGTCGGAAAAAAACGAAATGACTTTCCGAACAACCCTATAGAATTATTTAGTTTGATTCTATTATTATTGCTAACTTAAGTGGAAACTTTCTATTTCTAGTCAACATGGTACACATCGTCCATTTTGCAACTATATTTTTGGTAGTCTGCACCACTCGTGCCCTAGATCTCTACAGATTAGGACCCACAGTAACTCCAACTCATTATGACGTAGAATTAACCCTTCTCCCAGGATTCGGTCCTGCAGCATCCTTTTCAGGACGAGTAGAAATTACTTTGGAGACTATAGCATTAGTTACGTTATTCGATCTTCATGCTAGCAGTTTAACCTTTAACAGCATTCGAATTTACAATACTGATGATCCTGCGCAAACTAACATATTTCGCAGTTATAGCAAGAATGCAACTTTTGGTGATAAGTTGTGGATCAGAACAACGACAGATTTAGTGGTTGGAGAAACTTATATACTTGTAGCCGATTACACTGGAATATTGCACGATGACATGAACGGATTCTACAGAAGTTCGTATAGAGATACGAACGGAAGTACGAGGTAGGTCACACAAACGTTAGTGACCAAAATCTATCAACAAATACTCCTAGTATATCAAGTCACCAGCCAAATGCGAAAATTCTTTCGAATATCAAAAATTGTCCTCCCCGCAAACGTTGCATTTACAGTTTACTTTAGACCACAGTTTTTATTGGAGATAAATAGTACAATCTACTATTTTTACATTCCGTTTTTCAGACAATAATTGTCGATTTGAAACAATATAACATATAAGTAGAGTCCGTTCACTTAGAGAAAGGTAGATACACTATGCCATATCAAGGTAAATCGACTGCCTTGGTGACACAGGCTTACGGTTGGGCTTTTATCGGAAACATCTGACGGTAAGCGATCGACTGTATTCCGGGACTAACCTATCGATTGTGCGCAACACTCACGCTGTACCTTTCTCTAAGTTAATGGCGAATACCTACATACTTCATACAATCTAATTTTCTCTATTTATTTTTGCGTAAACTACAGACGTTTTCTAGTTGATTCGATCTAAAAACACTTGTGCCTATTATTAGAAAGGTGATTCAAAACTTATCACTGCTCTATTGGTGTCATATCGAATCAATTAAGATAAAGCTACGTTCAGTTAATCACGTACAGCCTGCACTAAAACTAAACCCAAAAGTTCATATAACTGTTCAAAAATTGGACAATCTGCAAAAACAATTACCGTATCTAGTAATTACAGTTCACTCTAAAGAAAGTGAACTGACGGAAGCTTATGGACAACTTTAAAATAATTACAATTTTACTTCACCTATTGCCCGATTTTTTTGAGTATTAAATTATAGTACTTTATATCATCATTAAATAATATTATTCAATTAAAAGATTAAACCAAATCACTTAAACCCAAATCTTAAACTAAATGTCTCCACCCGTAGCTTTATTCTATTTGATTAACAAAGCTTTAGGACTGATCACCGTTACAAATCTACCAAAAATACATATAAATAGTGTTTCATATTTTTATAGCACTTTAAAGCCTTTTTAATTTCCTCTATGACACTCACAGTTCTCTACTGATTTCAAAAATTATTTATACACCGGATTTTAGATGGCTTGCAACAACTCAATTTGAACCCACCTATGCTCGAAGAGCTTTTCCGTGTTTTGACGAGCCGAATCTCAAAACTACGTTTCGAATATCTATTATTCACCCTGAAGATGTCCATGCGCTCAGCAACACGCCCATAGTCTCTACCCAAATGTAAGTTAAATGACTTTTGAAGGATGCAATAAAACATAGCAAGAAATTTCATTGTAGATACAACCAAACCTTAGGCCTAACTAGAACAACATTCCAACAAACTCCAACAATGTCCACGTATCTTATTGCGTTCGTTGTATCCGATTTTACCGGTTTAACCAACACTTCGATTAATTACGGGGTATACGCCCCGCCCCATCTCATTAACACCACCCAATATGCATTTGACATTGGCCCAAAGCTACTTACAGAAATGGGGAACTTCATAAACCACTCATATTTAGACTCTGGAATTGGTAAATTGGATCAGGTCGCTATTCCCGATTTCTCAGCGGGAGCTATGGAAAATTGGGGACTTATTACTTACAGGTAAGTGCACGAATCGATTAATATTTATTATTCAAAAATTATTTACATGAGTAACGTGAATAAAAGACAGGGCTTACTGCTGTATGACGAAGAGGAGTCAACGTTAAGTAGAAAAAGATCTATAGCAACAACTATTATGCACGAAATAGCCCATATGTGGTTTGGAAATTTGGTAACTTGCGATTGGTGGTCATTCGCTTGGTTAAATGAAGGATTCGCAAGATACTTTCAATATTTTGGGACAGCATGGGTGAGTTAATGCTGAAGATAGTCAAAGATATGGTTTAATTGAATTATCAATGTGAAAAGCATTTAATTACCTCAAAATTAATAAAGAAAAATTGTCGCGGCTGTCACACCCTCGTCGGGAATCGAACCCGATACCTTTGACTTTACACACCAATCATCATCATCATAAGATCATCAGTCTTTAGACTGGTTGGACACGTACCTCCACTCTTTCTTATCCTGAGCTAAACTTCGCATTTCCCTAAAACTAGAACAGCCCACATCCTTAACTATTTGCGAACAGTAATCTAATCTAGGTCTACCTCTACCCCTNCACCTAATTGGCAATATCACTACTCTTGCACCTGGGCAAGCAAAAACTGTATCGAAAAAGGCTAATAGTATATGTGGCCAGGAATTATATTGTAAATGGAAACAATTATTTTTCCATTTATGCCAAATGGTTTTGAATGGAATTTACAAATTTTCCATTGATTCCCACTGAACTTCAATGGAAATTTTTCCTACGGGCTACCCACTTATCTCGCCTATTTCCTATTGACTTTCATGGAGTTCTCTGTTCTCCTATTCTTTCTAATACCTCTTCGTTTCTAACCATCTCTATCTCCAGTGTCCTCATAATTCGCCTGTAGCACCACATTTCGAACGCCTCTAACCTTTTCTTTTCCGCCGCGTTCGTGGTCAACTTCTAAATTAACCATTCGCGAGCACAAAAGCGACTTCTTTTTGTTGAAGACGACTCAATCTTGCGCTACTCTGTGTTTTATAATTCTTATGCCCGTTTATTCTTTATCTACATAACTACGTATACGTTTTTCATTTCCAGATATTTCAATATTGCTTTGACATCACCTGACGTTGCTGCTTCAGACAGAGCCAGTATTTTCTCATACGTTTACTCAAAAGGAAAAATTGAGCTCGACACGGAATTAGAATTCATTAGTGAAAATCTTGAATCTATATTTAACGTGTAAGTGTTAGTACATATGCAAAAATTTAACCGATAAATATTGATTATCTTTTTCTCCCAAGGACTTCGATTACGTCTTCTCTAACTGGAATTGGAGGAAGATTGACCACACAAGCGCAACTTAATGCTGTAAGTATTGTTTTCTCAATCTTTCATATATGACTGACTTATTCTTTTGTTAATTTTCAGTTGGAGAGGATACAAGGAACCTACAGCAATTATTCTGCGGTACTCAATGGAGCAATAAGTGCAGCTCGAGCTAATTTAGAATGGTGCAATCAATACCTTAGCCAAATCACATCTTGGGTGAATGAAATATCTAATAATGGCACTAGTTCAACTCCTGCTCCTAGTACTCCTGTAACTCCTATTACTACAACTCCGGCTCCTAGTACTCCTGTAACTCCTATTACTACAACTCCGGCCCCTGGTTCTACTACACCTGGTCCTGCTGATGGAGGAAGTTCTTCACTATTTTACCATCCACTTGTCCTCGTCTTACCTATTGTGTATTCGCTATTTAACCGATAATGAGTACATATAACTCTCTTTCTTTATTAAGAAAATATTTAATCAACAGTTCAGTATCAGTATTGCTCTATATTTAAATAAATAAACTTTTACGGATTTTTTTGGTGTTTTATTATTTTCCGATCCACTCAGTTTTCACAGGTCAACTTTGAATAAATGAAGACAGAACCTCGCTCACATCATTTTTTAACAGGAACATAGGAAAATTCTAAATTATTTATTTTGAGTGTGTCGAAAACGAACACTAATTAATAATAAAAGGTCTTTTAGAATTTGTATGCAATTTTTTACGAAATTTGAAATTGAATATTTTAAATCCATATCTATCTATAAGTAACAGGGGAATCACACAGAATGAATATATATATATATCAGTACCTAATTGATGTACTCTCAAATTCATAGATGATTCTTTAACTGTTATGATTAAACTAGCATCAATTAATATAACGTAATCCCCGACTTCTAAATTGCAATGTTTTTCGTTGTTTATATGTATATCTAAACGATATCTGCCAAATAAAAAATATCAACTGTTCACATAGGTAGTGATAACTCACATAAAATAACCATATCTCTTAAATAATCATTTTAATTGTTTATTTTTCTTATTTACCTTTATTAAGAACTATAAAATCTTACTTTTAGCTCGAAAAGTGATAAACTTATTTATGTAATTACACATACCATTTGATTTCTTTGTATTAAATATTAATGTTAACATTAATTTTCAATTTTTCATCCACTACAAACTACCTCAGGTTGTTGAGGGAAAATTTTTGTTACTGTTGTCAAACCCCCGTCGAGAGTCGAACTCGAGAAACAACAACCACGACAAACTGAGCCTACAAGATTACAGATCCTTCGATTTTTTGCTAATATAATTACATATATTAAATATATGTCACAATGACATTTTTAATTATTAATAGTGATTAATATTAAATATTAATGTGAAAATTCATTTTCAATGACCCGGGTTCGATTCCCGGCGGGACTATAACAACAGCAACAAATATTTTCCCTCATTGACCTGAGGTACTCTGTAGTGGATGAAAAATTGAAAATGAATTTTCACATTAATATT